AGAAGAAGAAGCAAGTCACTGGTAGCGTGTGAAGAGAGAATCAAATTATTTTTCAAGGGGTAAAATTATTATGAATATCAACACTGTCATTTTTTTTTAAAGTGGCAGTATTTGCCCGCTGGAACTGATTTTCTGAGGCATTTTTACTTTTGGAGGGGCATTTTTTTAAAGTTTAAAAACATAATGTCGTCCCTGTACATCAAATTCTTTAATTGAATTTTAATAAATGTATATAAATACATTTAAATCTGAACAATTATTGATGTTACATATACATGAAATCACGTAAAATTTGCGTTGTTCAGCGTTTGAAAGCCGGTTTTTACGTAAAAGAGGTATTATTTTCCAAAGCGACTGTAGAGGCAGTAATGTCACAGCAGCAGATGAGAGCGAGTACTGCGCTTTCCTTTACTTTCCGGTAGGAGGTAGTGGTGGGAAGTCTGACTATTTTCCGGGAATCGGTTCTTTTGAACAGTTCATTTCAAAGAACCAATTCAGGTATTCTTTCCGTCATGACGAAATTACGTCACCACGTGGTCGCGGAGTGGCTCTAAAACGTTACAATAAAGTCACATATAAACACATTGCTGTTTATTATGCTTTTCTCCGATTAAGTTTTATTAAAAAGAGTTTAATGTCCCAGTTCAATCAGTTTGTTGCAATGACCCAACTCATAAAAACACAACATATACATGAAATCACGTAAAATTTGCGTTGTTCAGCGTTTGAAAGCCGGTTTTTACGTAAAAGAGGTATTATTTTCCAAAGCGACTGTAGAGGCAGTAATGTCACAGCAGCAGATGAGAGCGAGTACTGCGCTTTCCTTTACTTTCCGGTAGGAGGTAGTGGTGGGAAGTCTGACTATTTTCCGGGAATCGGTTCTTTTGAACAGTTCATTTCAAAGAACCAATTCAGGTATTCTTTCCGTCATGACGAAATTACGTCACCACGTGGTCCCGGAGTGGCTCTAAAACGTTACAATAAAGCCACATATAAACACATTGCTGTTTATTATGCTTTTCTCCGATTAAGTTTTATTAAAGAATTTAATGTCCCAGTTCAGTCAGTTTGTTGCAATGACCCAACTCATAAAAACACAATTTACATTTACATTAAAAATCCTGATTATTGATTTGCATTTTAGCTGAATCAGTCGTCCTAAACGTAATTACAGTAGACCTACGTTTTACTGGTAAACGTTTCTGCAATTTGGCTATTAAAGTATTTTACAATGAGTTAGTCAAATATTCGTAAACTCTACTATCAGCTAAATCAAGAAGAGCTCAGTCCGAGTCGGGAACGAGTCGTTTGGAGCGTTTTGAAAGATTCATTCAAAAAGATTCGTTCACGAATCTCACTCACATCGCTAGCAGGAGGCGTCCAGAGAGGCTGTGTCAGTCGAAAGCAAACATCTTCATCAGGGATTCTGTGTTTTTTGAGGGCTCAAGAAAAGTTAGCGACATCCGTCCCGTCATTTGGAAGAAAAATGCCTGAGTTATTGGCTTTTTATCGGATCTAGATCAATATTCATGGACTGATGCGGCCATGGCAAGTCTCGGTGTCAGCTTTATCGATACACGCCAGCGACATCTGAAGGATATAAAGTGAAAGATATATTATAATTAAGTTGATCCTGTGTTTTTTGAGGGCTCAAGAAAAGGTAGCGACATCCGTCCCGTCATTTGGAAGAAAAATGCCTGAGTTATTGGCTTTTTATCGGATCTAGATCAATATTCATGGACTGATGCGGCCATGGCAAGTCTCGGTGCCAGCTTTATCGATACACGCCGGCGACATCTGAAGGATATAAAGTGAAAGATATATTATAACTAAGTTGATCTGATCTCGGCAGACTCCATCTGTGCGCATGCGAGATAACAGTTCTGCGCTCTGGATATGCTGATGTCAACTGATATAGGCTGAGTATCTGTTCAAGATAATGTGATTTTGTCTTTCCATAGACATTTTTCTGTGACACTATCATCGGCAAGTCTAAAACGGGGACTAATTTGTACCATTTGGTTTGTAACGTGTTTTTAAACGGCACATTTGATGGTTAATGAACGGATATCTTCATCTACAATCAGCTGACCACCTCTGAATTCACTGCATTAGAAGAGATATCCTGGAGTTTCCCTTCATTTGCTTAAACAAAAGCAGACTCGGACCCCAGATATTTACTCTTGTGTTAAAGGAGCCTATAAGGATCGTGGTTAAAGAGTAACGGCATCTTGGAGATGTCAGGCCGGCCTAGGACCACCTCATTTGCGGAGAGCTGCAAGCCAGTGCCGCAGCCTTCAGCCTTTGGCAACATGAAAGTCAGCAGTAAGTATCAACATCTACTCATATCGTAATAATTCTCAGACAAACACTATAAGAAAAACAAGAATTTCAAAACTGGTTTTGATTAGGATGCATATGTATGATATACAGTTTGTGAGCATCTGTCATGTCATCTTGCCCCTAATGTAATGCTGCCTGGATCTCAAGGGATGGGTCAGGTCCTGTCTCTTGTTATCAGATCTGCTCTATGGAAATACATTTGCTGCACTGTGCACTAAGGAAGCACCCTGACTGGACACCATTGCACAGCTCAGTAGTTTATACCAGGGAGGTACCTTTTTTTCAGCTAAGATAATGACTGCGTTCACTTGCAATTAAGAATTGTCAAAATGTAATCTGAATTTTTTTCATATAAGCATCATGTAGACACAAAAAAATAATATTTCCGTTGCTTGAAATAAATGAAACATTTACTAAAATAAAATAAAGCTTATTTTATTTCAGCTATTTGCCGCATTGTTTAATTTGATGTACTAAAATAACTAAAAAATAAAAATTAATAAAAGCTACATAGACATTAACAAAAATGACAGAAACATACAGCAAAATTACTAAAACTTTGAACTAAAATAAAATGAAAGCGAATCTAAAAATTAAAACTAATTCTAAATATTAATTAGAACTATAATAGTATCCCTGTGATCCTAAAATAACACTGACCTGATTACCATAACCAGTTTCAACAAATATTCCAGGTTACGGAAGTCTGAAAAAGACAGCTGTCACATGATAATTTAATTACAGCGTTTATTCCGAATAAAGCGTTTACGTGAACTGAATGTCTGATTAAGGAATATGCCAAATTGTCTTTTACAGATTTTTTAAAATATTGTGTCCAGTTTTGGTCCATCATTTATATGATATATACATGGCCATTTTTCTGATCAGAATATTCCTGTGGACACATAAAACTGTCATTTAAAGGGACAGGTCACCAAAAAATTTACTTAACCTCAAGTTGTTCCAAACTAGGGCTGCACAATAAATCGCATGCGATATTTAACGCGCATCTTGTCAGTAAAGCCATTCTGTAATCAGCGGTAAATCTCCATCACCTGCGGGCTTTCACGTGGAGCAGCATTAACTACACAGAGCCGTTGTTCACCGACAAGCTGCGCAAAACATGCGCAAAATATGATCGTGGTTTTGCTGACAAGTTACGCAAAAAAATCATAGACGATTTTATTGCGCGATTCTGAAATCGTTCGCGATAATTCTTCTGCGAGGCGTATTTGGAGTTTCAGCGCGAGAGCGCCCTCTGGCCTTTGGATGGAGATTTACTGCTGATCACAGAACCGTGCCTCACTGAAAGATACGCATGACAATCGCAGCTTCTGTCGAATCGCGATCTCGATTCCATTTCGATTTATCGTGCAGCCCTAGTTGATATGTAGACTGTTGGTGTTTAAATTCTGCAGGGAGGGCTGATCATTAGATATTCATAATCAGTTCATGTTTATTTGTGATCGTTTCGTTTTCATCTGTTCTTAACATTGCAGATGGAGAGGGATAATCATTTTGTATGTGAGATAATGTGATTAATGCTGTAGCCGTAATGATGAAAAGTCTCTTAGACTGGAGAAGATTAAGCTAAGCTGCGTCTTATATTAAATGCCTTGGTTTATCTGAATTGCTAAATGACTAGTCGGTTCGCGAGCTGGATGGTGTCAGAGGAGCAGGATGGTAAGATGATCTGGGTAAGTAATGGGCCGTGACTCAATTAAAATTCCATGCTGCCAAGCCGAGATGTTTATTAGCACATCGTGCGATTGTGTGCGCACACTCACGCCCTCTGACTCATCACATTTCCCCGTGCTGAACGTGCACTCGGTCTGCACTTTACTCCACGGCTCACCTGACCTGCCAAACACACACTCACACAGATTATTTTTGTAACACTGATGCATTCCTGATTTATATGCTCTGTGATGAATGAATCATGATACTGTCTATACTTTAAAACATGTATGGTAAAGCTGATATTTCCTTCCTTGTGCTTTCATTCTGTAGGGAGTGTCTGTAATAGACACTGAAGAACAGATACACAATTGCTTCCCTTACCTTGATTTTTTTTCCAGAAATGGGTCTGATTGAAAGTCTAACTCAGCAAAACATTTAAAAAATATATATTTATATTTTTATATTTTTAAAGGGGTGGTTGATTATGATTTAACTTTTTTAACTTTAGTTAATGTGTAATGTTGCTGTTTGAGCATAAACAACGTCTGCAAAGTTACGACGCTCAAAGTTCAATGCAAAGGGAGATATTTTCTTTTAAAGAAATTGCTGTTTTAAGACTACAAAAAAAGGCTGGTAGGGACTACAACAAGCTTCTTCCTGGGTTTGTGACATCACAAACCCTGAAATTTACATAAACCCTGCCCCCAAGAACATGCAACTACCTGTAATGAGAAGGGGGCGTGATGTTTCCGGACAACGTGCACTAGGCAGTTAGCGAATCACAACACACTGGGCCAGCTAACCAATCTGAGCTCGACTGCGTATTTCTGAGGGAGGGGCTTCAGAGAACCAGGAACTCGACAGACTGTTTTGACGAGAACGGAAACAGTGGTGTAGAATTAAGGTAAAATATGTGAAAATAATGCGTTTTTTTTTTTTTTTAAACGAAGTATGAGCACATGTTACACTGCACCCCATAAACACAATCAAGCCTTTGAAAAAAGCTGATCCGATTTTTTTGCATAACTTGTCAGTGAACTACGGCTCTGTGTAGTAAATTCTGCTCCATCTGAAAGCACGTGATGATGATTTACTGCTGATTACAGAACCGGCATTACTAACAAAATGCGCATGACAATCACATTCGATTAATCGTGCAGCCCTAGTATTTAGTCAGTTTCCTGTTACTTGACCACAGACCTGGCTACACAATAAAAATATATTTCTACTAAATAATTGAGGACAGTTTCCATTTTGTCCTCATATTTCCCATTTTCATGTCGTCAAGCACTTGCTCAGGGGCTCATCAACGTGATGAGGTGTGAAGCGGATGTGTTTAACTCGAAAATGAGCTCTGGTGAATGAATGATACACGCAGGATCACACACTAATGAGCATAGTAACACCTAGAACGCATGTGACCATGTAAAACAGACCAGTGAATTACAAAGGAATATTCATGGTACATTGTACTTTCTCTCTCTGTTTAGGAGATAAAGATGGCAGTAAAGTTACAACAGTGGCCGTGACCCCCGGTCAGGGACCCGACCGACCTCAGGAGGTCAGCTACACGGACACAAAGGTCATCGGGAACGGCTCGTTTGGGGTCGTATATCAAGCGAAGCTGTGCAACACTGGTGAGCTGGTGGCCATAAAGAAGGTGCTGCAGGATAAAAGGTTTAAGGTAAGCATCTGTTTATCGTTGGTTGTGTGTGTTTACATCAGAAATGTTTAGTCTTGAGGTGACAAATTTAGCCTTATAAACATTTAGCATTATATTGATGTCATTTCTCGTGATTCTTTCTTTCTTTCTCTGTCTATGAATTGTTTTTGTGTCAGAATCGTGAGTTACAGATCATGAGGAAGTTGGATCACTGTAACATTGTCCGTCTGCGCTACTTCTTCTACTCCAGCGGAGACAAAGTGAGTGCCGCTTTTCTTCTCTTGTTTTTTTTTTTTTTTCTGAGCAGCATCATGTGCCCTATAAACCAAAAACATGCTGTCCAGCAGTTTCCAGCAAATGCTTTAGGTCATGTGATATGTATTCCTATGGTGCAACCCAAAGTGAATAGCAGTCTGATATCTAACTTTTTAATGAGCTGTGCTTGCGAGGGACTGCATCAGAGCCCTGCAGGTAGTATGGCTCCTGCACACTGAGTTACACTCTGGACACCAGCAAACTCATACTTGAAAAGAAATCCAATAGAGTATGACCTTTTAGTCAAGTGTTTTTATTTAAAAAAATAATAAATATATTAAAAGAAATGATATTTTACATAAGGAAAATTAGGCCTATTTTCGATGATTTTCATTGCTATATTGCTATATATTTGTTTGTTTACTTGTTTATTATTTTTTGTAAAATTAATTAAAAAGTAATGAGATCTTATGGAAGTTTAGAAACACTGAATAAATAAGTAATCAATCTTAATGGTGCTGTAGTTTTTTACTTTATGCATATATTTAGTGAAATTTTTATATTTTTGAATATTTTTTGTATATAAAATTATAAGTAGATATATTTTATTAAAAAGTAATATATCTCAACCAAAAAATGGTTCTATAATTTTTATGCAACATATAAACAGATTTTTTTCTTTTTATTTCCTTAGTTGGGGGGACTTTTTGCAAGATTATCCAGTACGTTATGAACAAATTGAATAAAATATACTTATATAATGTCCCAGAAGGGAACATGGTGCGGTACACATACACAAAACGGTGCCATTCTTCTTCAAATCATTATATAAATCTAAAAATAATATGCACAAGCATACAGTACATACACTAGAAGACATCTGCTATCCAAACAGGGTGGTATTTTTGTTGTGATTTACAGCTCTGGCTGCTCATGCCCTCCAGCGTTAACCTGTGGATAGGATTTCTGGTAATCCTGCGATAGTCCTGGGGGCAAAACCTGTCACAGCAGTGGCCAGAGACAGCTCAGTAGGAAACTTTTGATTGATGGGAAGATAAACTGTTAGACCAGCCCTATTTTTACTGTATGATAAGCTCTGGCTCCTGTGCAGCCAACCAAAGGGACAATGTGTGTGTGTAGAGAGTTCACCGAGTCAGGTCTATGGGAGTTCAGACTTCCCTTTCAATGTATAATCTGAAAACAGATCACACAAAATGGATCAGAGTTTTGTCAGGATCCTATAACAAGAATGCTATAGCATTACATAGCTAAGAGAAAGTTTTTACAGAGTAAAGTTTTAACTTTATAAGTCAGAAAGAGCCAAGTATGTTTACACACACAAGGAATTTGTCTTGGCGACAGGGGCTTCCAGTGCAGAAGAAAGTACAGACAATAATGCAAACATACATGATAGTGCAGACATTCATAGGAATTACACAATAGAGATGAAATATAACACTAATATTAGAAAAACAGAAAATTAAAAAATGCAATATAATACAGAAGTAGAAATATAGAGAAAAAAACATATAATTGTTTCAATGAATGTACAGATATGCTATGTATAAGTGTGTCAGTTATAACGGGCAATATATATTTATGAAAGTTTTAATTGATCAGGCTGAATATGGCCTGTGGAAAAAAACAGTTCTTGAGCCTGGCTGTTCTGGTGGTCGGTACTCTGTTGCGCCAACCAGAGGGCAATAGTTGAAAGAGAGAGTGGGCTGGGTGTGTGGGGTCCAAAGTGATTTTCTTAGCCCTTTTCCTCACTCTGGAGGTATAAAGATCTTGGAGGTTGGGCATGGGGAACCAATAATCTTCTCAGCAGTCCTGACTGTCCGTTGTAGTCTTCTGATGTCTGATTTGGTAGCTGAACCAAACCAGACAGTTATGGATGAACACAGGACGATGGCCAATGATAGCCGAGTAGAACTGTTTTTAGCAGCTCCTGTGGCAGGTTAAATTTCCTCATCAATATATCAAACAAATTCAAATGCTTTTGTTTAACGGGCATGTTGGTTTACTTATGTTGAACCTGAACCCAGGCCATCCTTATGGTGGAGCCTTGTAAAGACTGGTTTATCCCACCGTAAACCAATTCAGTTCACTAAATGTCAGCCATCTAACCTAAAGACGCACGTACACACCGGAGCACATACAAGAGGCCGCAGGGTATACGGTTACTCTTGAGTTATTCTTACACACAACGGCAGGGCTTCTCCTTTGTAACAAAGAAAGAAAAGAAGACGTTGTGAAAGAGATCATGTATGAGGAGTGCTTTGAGAGGCATAAAAGAAAAGAAACACTACAGAAAGTAGGATGCTGCCAGTGAATGGTCAGTCATGATGGATTGATATGTCACTATGGCCTGAAACATTATATACATCATATCATACCCATTGAGGATGCATTTACTTGATCAAAAGTGACAGTAAGTACATTTATAATGTTTAGAAAAAAATCTATTTTAAATAAATGCTATTCTTTGAACTTTATATAGTTTCCACAAAAATATGAGGCAGCCCAATTGTTTTCAGCATTGATAATAATAGTAAATGTTTCTTGAGCAGCAGATCAGCATATTAGAATGATTTCTGAAGGATAATGTGACACTGAAGACTGAAGTAATGATGCTGAAAATTCAGCATTGCATCACAGAAATAAATTACATTTCAAAATATATTAAAACAGTTATTTTAATTCGTAATCATATTTAATTTGTAATAATAATATTTCTGTTTTTACTGTATTAGTTAAGAACTAGTTACTAGTTAAGAAACACTATGTAATAGGGCTGGGTAAAAAATATCGATATCTCGATATTAATCGATTCTCTTTTTTTACGGAACAATATCGATTCTTAAATCCCAAGAATCAATTCGTCTCACCTGTTTTCAGTTTATGGACGGAACACTGAAGGGCACTTCCCATCCAGTAAATCGCAATAAGCATTGTGCTTTGGTACTTTTAATATAAAGCAAAGTCTCATATTTCAAATTCTGTCTATCCATTGTATTATGTGGAAAATAATGTGTTTTTTGAACCTTAAACCACATAAACACATTTCATTACACCAAATACACAAAATAATGTTCTTTTTTAGCAACATCATATGACCCCTTTAATGTGGAGTGACAGATTGCTGTAGCGCATCAGTTGAACAGACGCGGCAGCGCATAGCGCACGTGAACTGATCATCTCCTCCACATTAATACCAGCTTCGGCACAAAAAAACATGACTAAACATCCGAAGGTTAGTTAAAAGAAAGAGTACAACTTTACAATCCGTATCCTGTCTCATGTAATCGCTCAATCAGTGTTTCCTCCACGCAAAGACGTCAATATAAGGTCTTGTAAACAATGTCACGCAACGTCAGACGTCACATTTACCTCAGAAAAACATATTCGGTGACCATAAACTCATTAGTCAGCCAGAAAAATAAACTGTAGAGAGGGGTATTTTGCTAAATATATGCACAATATAACATATTCATTATAATTTTTACTGTTCTTATGTTTAATTTATGTTTGAATAAATCCATCAATTTGTTAGGACAGCCGCCATTTAAATGTTTATATAAAAAAAAAAACGAATTGAAGTAAAAATATTGTATTTTTTTTTTATAATTGTAACTTTATTATTTTTAAAACTTTATTAAGTGTAATTTTAGCAGTTGTAGGCTATAGCTTACAAATCAGTCAATTTTAACCTTCAATATTATAGTAATGTAGAACCAAATGACTCTCATGTATATTTTACAGCATTAGTTGAGAGATTTTTTTTCCTTAAGAAAATTTTGCAAGTACTGTACCTCATGTACAGTTTATCCAAAATAATCGATATTGAATCGAATCGAATTGGTAATCGAATCGAATCGAATCGTGAAATTTGTGTCAAAACCCAGCCCTACTATATGTAAGTATTGTATTGCTGCAATCTGAAGGAAAGTCTAATGCCCTCTTGAGTACTGAGATATCTTAGCACCACAGCAAGGCAGAATCACATGTTAACATGTTGATTTAGCATGCGGAGAGTATGTTTGTGACCTGTGAAGCGATTGTCTCTGCCCGTCTCATTGACAGACAGCAAGAGCAGGGCTGTCCTCACCGGTTTAACCCTCCATTCCAGCACGGTGACATAGTGTCTGACCACTGTGACTTTGTCCTGACGGCTCCCCTGGTGTCACAGAAAGAGGATCAGTTCAGTTATGTAACCCTGTCCAGACAGAACTCTCACCCATTTACATATCTGCTTACTCACACTTGGCAATTTGTGCAGTTGAATCAAAGTTCATGGATATTAGCTGTCACTTCATCTTGAAGTCAAGAACAGAAGTGCAATCTAGACTCAGTAGTATGCAACTGCCAGCTGCGTTTGCTAAAATGTGCAGTCTACAACAAAGCACACTACACTGGCTATTATATCCCACAATGCAATGCACTTGTTTTGACTTTCCAAGCTCTAACTATTTCTTGACTCCGTATTTGATTGGACTGCTAAAATGAAAGACATTTTTACACAAACATGGATTAAAAGTCAAAAATAGCAATGTATCTGTTTCTGATATCCTAACTTTTAAACATCAATAATTAAAAGTACTGAAATAACTCAAATTAAATAAAACTAAAACTTAATAAAAAACTTATATAGACATAATAAAAAAACAATAAAATGACAACATTACTACAACTGTAACTAAAACTAAAATAGATAACCAATACAAATCAAACTACATTAGTTTATCAGTAATCCTAAAAAAATAACACTGAGCCAAACACACATGCTAAAATAACAACAACTTACTGACACATAGTAAGAAATGGTTATAAAAAACTGAAACAGAAGTGAAACAAGTAGTAGGAAAGAGGAGAAATAAAATATCTTAGATAACCTGTCATATATTTTTGAGATATATATTATATTAAATTATATAATTTTGTGTGTGTGTGTGTGTATATATATATATATATATATATATATATATTTGTCATTTAGCAGCCTCTTTTATCTAAGGATTTGTATATGTGCGTGAACAGCCAATCACAGCACATCTCCAAAAACACTCGGCCAATCGCAGGACAATCGCTGAGCGGATGTCACTGTTGTGAGGCAGGAGTTGGCTTGGTGCCTTTGGCAGGTTAATTTTCCAACTACATTTACGAGTTTATGTCTCTAAGGGGGCAACAGAGAGAGAGAGAGAAATAATGACTATTCAAATAGTCTATGTGTGACTCATGTGTGTTGAGTCTCAGACCCCCTTTTCCCCTGGCAAGACCACCACTAAAAGGTTCTTGTTATCCACATGTTCCAGTGAATATACACAGTGGAATAAACACTCCGGTTTACGGGTGGGTGATAATGTATGACCAAAATCCAAAAATAGTAGAGTAATATTACACTACTGTTTAAAAGCTTGGGGTCAGTAAGAGTTTTTGAAAGAATGCACATGTGTTCACCAAGGCTGCATTTATTTGATCAAAAATACAGTAAAAGTAATATTGTGGAATATTATTGTGATTTAAAATAACTGTTTTCTATTTGAATTTATTGCTGCGATGGCAAAGCTGAATTTTCAGCATCATTACTCCAGTTTTAGTGTCACATGATCCTTCAGAAATCATTCTAATATGCTGATTTGCTGCTTAAAGAAACATTTATTATTATTATCAATGTTGAAAACATTTGTGCTGCTTAATATTTTTTGGAAAAACTGTGTTTTTTCAGGATTATTTGATGAATAGACAGTTCAAAAGAACTCCACTGATTTAAATACTATACAATATAAAAGTCTTTGCTGTCACTTCTGACCAATTTAATATGCTATTGCAGAATAAAAGTATAATTTTTTTTAAGTATTATTAAAAAAAAAAAATTACTGACCCAAAACTTTTGAGCAATAGTGTATATCACTGTAATTGTATGTTATATTTAAAATTAAGCTAAAAATGACTTGTATATTACATAACCATATAGTAATGTTAATTTATTTTCTGATAATCTGGTGAACCATGCTATTGTATATAACAGCTAGTAAACACACACTTGTGACCTTACATCTATATATCGCCCAGAAATGATAATTGTCATTACTCACCCTCATGTCATTCCTAAAGAAGATGGGAACCTAAAACAGTTTTGGTTCCCATTGACTCCCATTCTATTTTTTGTCAATACAATGGAAGTCAGTGGCAACCAGAAGCTGTTTGATTACCAACATTCTTCAAAATATCTTTTGTGTTCCGTAGAACAAAGAAAGTCATACAGGTTTGGACCGACATGAGAGTGAATAAATGATGACAGAATTTTCATTTTTGGGTGGACTTAAAGATGTTTTCATTTTGGGGTCCCTTAAAGATGTTGTCTAGATATCAACCTTCTAAACTCTCTTCCTTTTGTCCCTCACCCATCGTCGTCTTCATGCCCACAGAAGGATGAGGTGTATCTGAATTTGGTGATGGACTATGTGCCTGAGAACGTGTACCGAGTGTCCAGACACTACAGCAGAGCCAAGCAGAATCTGCCTATGGTCTATGTGAAGGTAACATCTGTTAATAGAATCTGACATTTTTCACTATTTTGAAGACGTGATTTTTCCTTGTTGGTTTGTTGCTGGTCTAGCTCATGAACCAAAGCCGCACAACTTACTAGCATGGACTTTGTGGTGTAACTGGTGTAAACATGAGTGTTTGTGCCATGTCTTTGTTCCGTTTGGACCTTTACAGTGGAATATTTTTCTGCTGTATTAAAGTCACTGTTTATGTGTTTTCAGCTATATATGTACCAGCTGTTCCGCAGCTTGGCGTACATCCACTCGTATGGGATCTGCCATCGAGATATCAAGCCACAGAACCTCCTGCTCGACCCAGAGACAGCTGTACTCAAACTCTGTGACTTTGGAAGGTGAGACAGGGAAATTAGGTGCTGTCATGCATATAACATCTGCTGTAAAGTTACCAGCACTCATTCATTTTGAGATCTTGAAGAAAACATTGTTGAAACGTTGCCTGAAGTTCTGTATTGTTCTGTATCATAATCTTAAAAACCTTTTGGTGATTGACAGTAAATACAAATTGTGCATACCCTACTGTTCAAACGTTTGGGGTCAGTAAAAAACATCTTTGAAGAGAAATTAATACTTTTATTCCCCAAGGAGACATCAAAAGTGACAGTAAAGACATTGTTAAAAAAGATTTCTATTTCATGTAAAGGATCTGTATCACAGTTTCCACAAAATATTAAGCAGCACAACTGTTTTCAACATTGATAATAATAAGAAATGTTTCCTTAGCAGCATTTTTTTTGACATTTTTCAAAAAATATATAATTATCTCAACCTAAATGTTTGACCATGCAGTGCATTTTTGTTTTAACAATGGGGCAATTGTTGCACGATAGTTTACACACAGCACAAGCCTGATTTTGCGAGCTGTATGTGAGGCGGCCTTATGTGTGTGCGCGCTTTGAGTGTGCATGAGCACACCGTCTCTAGGAGAACGCACAAGTGCTGAATGGTTTAAACACTGGCAAGACCTAAAAAGAAATGCAAATTATAAACTTTAGTGACGATGCAACACTGCCTCGATTGTGCAAGTGACAATTCCTGCGTAAACTGTGCAGCTCGCTTATAGTGCAGACGCGATGTGCTGATTTGAAGCCATCTGCGCATTTTTAGATGTAAAGAGAGAGTGCACGCATGGTGATTCACTCACGCTGTTTGTGAAATTACGTCTCACAGAAAGTTTTCAAATTACTTTGTAAGTTATTTAATTAAGAAATATGAATTGTACCTCACCTTCAGCAGTATAATTATTTTACCCGCGCTGGACAGAGATTGCGACGGTGCCGCTGCATGTCATGCCAAACCTCTCACGGCAGGCGCGTCGTCAGCTTGAGATCGGTTTTATGAGATCGGCCTTTATAGAGATCGCCGATCAAACTTCCCAAAGCCATTATCGGCCGATAGCGATCAGTAGCCGATCAATCGGAGCACCCCTAAAATCAGCAAATCAGAAGACTGGACTTGTGACATATTCATATGAAGACTGGAGTAATTATGCTGAAAAATGTAAAATATAGTCAAATAGAAAACGTTTGTGTGTCCTTACAATTCGATCATTTGGAGCGAATAGTGAAGGAAGAGCATGCAACAAGTGTCCATCATATACAGAATGTCAACTCAAAAGCATCCCAGGATGCACCTCATGAAGTTGGTAAGGGAATGAGGACACTGTGGTGATGGCATGTGAATGGCAGCAATATAAAAACACAGAAAGACGTTGCTCGTGTGATCTGGTACCTTCACTGGAAAACTTAATCTGGCAATTTTACAGCTACTGAACAAGTCTCATGCGTGAATGTGACTGTTTCACGGATCAAATCCCATCATCAGACACATTTTTGAGCATTCTGATCTACATCTATGACTGACTTTATTTGATTAAACTGCTTTAAACTTGTTTGGCTGTTTGGCGATAATGATCACGATTATTGTTCTTGTGATGATAATGTGTCCAACGAATGATGGCTGTTTTGATGTGTTGGTGTAATTTCTGGTTATGTCTAATTCTCTCTTGTCAGTCTCTCTCATTTGGTCTGTTTCTTTCTGTCTCCTGCAGTGCTAAGCAGCTGGCGCGTGGTGAGGCTAATGTTTCCTACATCTGCTCGCGCTACTACAGAGCCCCTGAGCTCATTTTCGGAGCCACGGACTACACTTCCAGCATAGGTAATCTAATGCTCTTTTTATTTTGAAACTTTTTAAACTACACCAGGATTTGTGTACTAATGCTAACTCTTTTTATAAAAAGATTCAGTATCGTACAAAATCCTGTCCTTTACAGTTGATCACATTAATGTAGTCATAATATAAACAGGCATTAATTCAGATAATATTGTACACTTGAGTGTTACATTTAGTAAATCATAGTGGCTTTGTTTTGTGATGTCAAAAAATATATTTTATGTTTTTGAGTGAAGTCTCTTATGCTCACCAAAGCTGCATTTATTTGATCACAAATACAGTAAAAACAGTCATATTCTTGCCATTTAAAATAACTTTTCTATTTGAATATATTTTAAAATGTAATTTATTTCTGTGATCAAAGCTGAATTTTCAGCATCATTACTCCAGTCTTCAGTGTCACATGATCCTTCAGAAATCAGTCTGATACACTGACTTGTTGCTCAAGAAACATTTCTTATTATTATTATCAATGTTGAAAACAGCACAACTGTTATTTCTGATATATTAAATGATATATGATTTAAAATGCATTAATTTACGTATTTTCATAGTTAAAACTACATGCATCAACAATCAATGTTGCTTAAATTTTTCTTGTCTAAATGCTTTAATAAACCACAACTTCAACATAGTTGTTGTGTGATGCTTAAAGAATTAAAAAACAACACTGAGACCTGCTAATGAAATGTGATTGAATGCATTTATGCTGCTAATCTGTGATGTAAGAAGAGTAAGTGCTGTAATATTCAGTGTTTAACTTTGTTTCCATACAGACATTTGGTCGGCTGGCTGTGTACTGGCCGAGCTGCTGCTTGGACAGCCGATTTTTCCTGGTGACAGTGGCGTAGATCAGCTTGTTGAAATCATCAAGGTAAGCGTGTGTGTGTGTGTGTGCGTTTTCATAAATAATCTTAACATTTTGATTGCTTCAACTCTTGTTAATGCTGACGTGTCTCATAATGCACTTTTCTAGAGTTTGAGCATTGTGAAATGCAGTTATAGTTTCTTTTTTTCTGTGGAGCTCTCCTAGTTTACAGCCGAATCCTCAGAGCAATTAAAAAAAAAAAAAAAGTCTTACTTCCTATAAGTTAAGCCTTGTTCAGACCAAGAATATATATAAACCAGTGTCGTTCTCATCATCAAAAACGAAAATAAAAAAACTCTTTCATTAATGTAATTACAACTCAATTGAATAATTGAATTAAAACGAAAATTTTAAATGTTACCTTGAGAGTTAAAGTACAAAAATTACTAATAAGTACAAAAACTGAAATAAAAAAATAAAAAAATCGAAATATTAATAAATACTATAACAGTATATTGATAATACTAAAATAACACTGCTATAAAGATAAACTATATTACCATCCATACCAATGGCCAATAATGTTTATTCTGAGCGTGTACTGTGAACGTAATTGCAGCGCATTTTCAAGTTGGAAGTTTTTGAATGGTTGTCAATTTAAATTTTTTACAAATTTGCTCTGAAAGTGACTCCAGCTGTATTGTTTCTCTGTATTGTTATAGTTGCGGTGTGGACTATATATTTTAATTGCAACAGAATAATATTTATTGGTTTGATGCAAAGCTCCAGTCTTCAGTGTCACATGATCCTTCAGAAATCCTTCTAATATGCTGATTTGCTGCTTAAAGAAACATTTAGCCGCCATTACTCCACCCATTTCTTATAATTATCAATGTTAAAAACAGCTTTTCTGAAAAAAGATTTTTTTTCTGGATTCTTTGATGAATAGTAAGATCAAAAGAACTTTTTTAACATTATAGATGTCTTTACTGTCTGTTTTGTACAGTTTAGTTTAATTGTACAGTCCAGTTTAATACATCCTTGCTGAATAAAAGTATTAATTTCTTTCAAAAAACAAAAAAATCGTACTGACTCCAAACGTTTTTTTGTGTAAATGTGTTTGTACGTGCATGATTCTGTCTTTTACACCAATATCTGTTGCATTTAATGATCAGAGTTGTCCAGTAACCCCTCGCTGACCTCCGTACTCATTCCTGCACATGCTCAGAACCAGGCGGAAAACTCTTCCCAGTCTGCCTTGGCTGCAACAGGTCGGTTTTTCACTTTCAGCCTCTCACAAACCCCAAGACTGTCCTCATCAGCTCTTTTTAATAACCTTCTCTTACGGTTCCAGGTGCCAACAGCGGTGATCGTGGTCTGAACACCAACGCTGCCTCTGCTGCCCCTAATTCTTCAACTTGAACCCCATCCACCCCTCAATGGGCCACTTTTACGCTGCTGCTTATCAGCCACGCCCACTCTCTGGGGTTTAAGGGGCGTGGCTAAAACTAACCGAAAAGCTCATGATATGATGCACCCACCAACCAAACCTTCCCCCAGTCATTGTCTTTGGTTTTATTATTATTATTTTTTTAATTTATTTGCTCTTAACGGACGCAACGAGGGCTCAGAAACACCGCCTCAGAACTATCTGCGGTGATGTTTGACAATTCTCTCTCTCTCTCTATATATATATACACTTACATAAACCTTTACACCTACAAATATGTTTTCACATGTCTACTTTGACATTTTTTAAAGGGAAATCTGTATGCTGTAGCCGCTGCTTCTTTTATAATCGTCTTGGCCACTTTCCTGGTTAATTATGGGTAGAGACAGAGACTTTGAATATGAGCTGACACAGACGGCGCAGGTGGGAGACAGGAAAGCTGGTTCCTGATTGGTCCGATACGACCAAATCCTGAACCGGTTCAACGGCACGGACTGATTTCCAGGGCTTGCCTCAAGCTCCCGAATGGAAGAGAGCGGCCTGTGCTGTTTAATTTCACTACACAGGGTATGCTGCACACAAATGCACAAACGATGATGATTGATTGAATCTTTTTGAGGTATTGTAACAAGTATTAACTCATTTTAATAGCAAATATACACCACCATTCACATATTTGGAGTTTGTAATATTTTTTATGTTTTTGAAAGTCTCTTAGGCTCAGAGATAATTTGATCAAAAATGTGGTAAAAACGGTAATATTGTGAAATATGTGTAATTATACAAAATGTGTAATTTATTGGTTTGATGCAAAGCTCCAGTCTTCAGTGTCACATGATCATATCATGTCATTTTTTGTGAGCGAGTGTGTGTGTGTGTGTGTGTGTTTGTGAGAGAGTGCATGCTGTACATCTTTGTCTATAAATAAATACCGTATGCTGATTAGTGAGCTAAAAGAAACAAGCACGAAATGAAGAAAAAAAGATAATCAGGACCTTAAAACGGAACATGTGAAAGGTTTCTGCACCGCAAATTCCAGCCTTAAAGGGGTCCTATTATGCTCTTTTACAAAGTCTTGATTTTGTTTTGGGGGTGTACTAGAACAGGCTCTCATACTAGGTTGTTCGAAAAACACATTATTTTTCACATATTTTACATTATTACAACACCTCTCTCCCCAGTCCGGCATGAATGGCTCAATAGTTCCTGTATCAAATGAAGGCCCGCCTTCTGAAAGACGAAATGTGCTGTGATTGGTTAGCAAGGCCAGTGTGTGTTGTGATTGGCACCACTCGGCGCCTGGTCGGGAAATGTCATGTCCCTTATCATAGCCGCCTGCAAGCTTTAGTGTAAATATTGTGTCAAAATCAAATCAATTTGAGCGCGATTTAAACCCGGATGATTGTAACCACTCTAAGTTCGTCTGCCTAGTCCAAAAGAGTCGTTCGTTGTAGTTTTTTAAAAGTGATTTCTGTTAAATAAAATATCTCGTTTTGAATTGGACTTTGAGCTTTGTAACTTTGCAGATCTTTTTTATGCTCAAACAGCAACATTACAGACTAACTAAAGTTGAAAAAGTGAAAAAGCATAATAGGACCCCTTTAAGGAAGATGTTGGGTTTAGTTCTCAAAATCGTGTCATTTGGGTTCGAATTTAGCAGGAATGAGCGGCTGAAAGCAGTTTGAAACCTTGAACCATCTGGACTGCTCTGTCAGGAAATTGACACTAATGATGAGGCGGAAGAAGATAAGATGGGAACGTTTTCTCTACAGTCTCATTCGCTTCCATTTCTTGTTGTTTTTCTTCCTCTCGCCCTCTTTAGTGTCCCCTAGTGTTAGTGGAAGTGCACAACCGAGGCTGTTGTATCTTGTTCCTCCGAATACGGTCGTGAATTAGTACAGAAGAGTCACTTCAGACTGTTTATGTCCCTTCCTAAAGTGCTGTTGAAAGAATATCCATCTGTTCTGCTGCCCACTTAAAGCCATAGTTCACCCAAATATGAAAATTAGCATTGTTTGCTCACACTAGTGTTGTTCCATACTCCTAGAATTTATTTTCTTCCATAAACCATAGATGGAGATGTTTTCTTTTTATTTTAAGTGATCTTTTCTATACAATGAAAGTAATTGGTGACTAAGGACTGTAAAACCATGAAAATTACAACAAAAAGTGTATTATAGCAGTGTAATCCACATGTCTTGTGTGCTATATTAAAAGTCTTCTTGAAGTCATACAATCATTTTATGTGAGGAAAATGCAAATTAAGTGGTTAACTACTAATAATTCACTTCTAACTCCCTAACTCTCAAATACAGTGTTGTGGTCAAATTTGGAGACGCTTGGCATCACTAAAATAAAACCTAATGTAATACCCAGATTTGCCATATTTTAAAATATGTGAGCATAATTGAGATTTGAACGCTTTAGCTGAGATTGTTTTTGTAATTTTTGGTGCTTGAAAGATGATGATCATCCACTTTCATTGTATGGAAACGATTCAGCATCTCACTATTTTTTATTTTGTTTTATTTATTTTTTTACATGAAAGAAAAAGTACAGATTTGCATCAATATGAAGGTGAGAAAATTATGACAGTTTTTTGGGTGAATTGTCCTTTTAATGTTCTTTTGAACTTTTTTTAAATGACCAAGTATATGATATTGTATGAAGGTGCTCCATCACTCTCAGTATAGTATGTATTAAAATGCGTTTAATGTATGCTTGGCAAAGGGAACTTATAAATTTCATCTTCTGAGCTCTTGTTAAGGACAGTTCACTGTCATAGCACGGAAAATAGATTGAACAGTGTTTTCTTTTTTTCTTTTCTTTTTTTATATTTTTTAACTTCAAGTTTCAGAAGGACTTTCTCTTAATCCTCTTGTTGGAGGAATTTATTTTACGTTCTTTTAATTGATATGGAAAATCTCTTATATTTTAAAATAAATGTTTATTTTAAAATATATTTTATATTTATCTTTATGTTTTTTAATCATTTTATATTTTTATGATTATATATAATACGCGAGAATACGGTGTGATGTATCTACAGTGTTAAGTCATTATTTTGCAATAATATCTTTTTGATTTGTGTTTGGGGTTTTGTAAAATACTTTCAGCAACACTTAAAGGCAGTGACGTCATGTAGCGCTACAACCTTTTTCATAAGCTTTATTAAAATATGTTTTTGAGTACATTCTTGCACATAAGCCAGTGCTGTTAGCAGTCACATTGCTTCACGATTTACTCAGCATGTCAAGTATCACATTTCTCAGTGACTCATATTTGAGACCAATATGAGATGAAAGGGAAAAGGGAGAAATATACAAACGTGAACTGTTGGTAGCCATAAGAGTTAATCAACAGGCACCAAAACTGAATAAATAAATAACATAGCTATTATTTTTTGTTTTATTTTGTTATTATTTTCTCTGTACATGACATTATGTTGAACGTCATACTGATATGTGTTCTGTCCTTTGTGTGCTCTGGTTCATAGAAGTCACCTGATATTGTTCTGCATTGAATAAAGTGTAGCTTAGCCTCACTCCATCACACTGTTTCTTCTCTTTTTATTGCTGAATGTCTTTTTTCCCCCTTCACACCTTCACTCTCTCTAGATGCAGTTGGGGGACAGTATGAATTAGTGAAAGCTTTAACTCTCATGTTGTTCCAGACCTGTATGAATTTCTTTCTTCTATATGGAACGCGGAACATATTTGAACGTTGGAAGCCTTATGGACAAAAAAGAAACTTTCTTCATTCTTGAGACATTCTTCAAAATATCCTCAATTATGTTCCACAGAATGAAAGTCACACAGGTTTGGAACAATCGGAGTAAATGATTTTTGGGTGAACTCATCACTTTACAGAGAAGTTTTTTTTATTGCATATATTCTTAAATCGTATTTGTCTCGTTCATCAGTTACTCATTGGAATTAGCTAATATATGACTCATAAACCTTTCAATGTATTCAGAATTTTTATTGCCACTAACCCTACTTTTGACAAAACAACATAAAAAAAGTACTATGTAGCTCATTCTTTTGTTTATTAGTTTATAGAAACGGGAATGGCAATTACAAAAAGTCATTCTTGTCATTTATGCTTACTAAATATTGCCAAATAGTACAAACATTGCTGAACTGCCTTTGTGTGACCTTGGCACTGTTAATAGTGCTGATAAAAATGAATTACACCACGTTACAGTCTAGGGTCATCATGTTCCTTCACTGAATGACGCCTTTGTGATGTTTCACAAGTAATGAACAGATCTCACACTGCTGCTGCACAAATGTAACAAATCACTAGTAATCCTAGAAAAAAAATGTAACATTGTAAAAACACTTCAGATCATGCATACTTCATCATACAGCAACAAAAATGGCTGATTTAGCTATTGACATATGTATTTATAATAAATATAAATTATATGTAATATATAAATATGTATTATACGTTATAAATATGTATATATATATATATATATATATATTAGGGCTGTCAGTTTAACGCGTTAACTTAATTAATTAGTTATGAAAAAATAACGTGATTAAAATATTTTAATATTAGTTAACGCATTGGCCCCGCCCCCAGACCTGTACCTCATCTTATATTTCATACAGTTGACTGTTGACAAATATGATGCAGGGCAACAACTCCATAAATGCAGTTATGCCCTAAAATTAAACATATTAGTGCAAAAAATGCCCCTGTATGAGCATTTGTCGCATATTTATATCATACAATATCACACCAGCAGGCAGAGCGGTATTACACGAGTGCTGATTTTGTCCCGAATATCATGAGTTTAAATGTGATTTTATACAACAGTTCAGTATATAAGAAGTTGATATTGTGTTACTGTTATTTAAACACAATATTATGTGTTTTTGCCCAATTTTGCAGAGAACATAAAGCCGTAGCAGAATTGTTGTGCTCTACGACACAGCGGTGTTTAGTTTCAGAATGAATCCGCGTTTTGAACGAATAGTGTGAATCAATGATTCAAAGGCCTATTTAGAGAGCCATTTACTTAATTCCTGAATGAATCAGCCTTTTGAACGAATCTAAAAAAAATCAATGACTCATAAAGACATTTACCGCCACCTGCTGGCAGATTTATTTTCTTATTTAGAGTATCATTTCATTAAAAAAGTATTAATTAATAATGATAATAATAATAGAATAAAAACATTAAAGGGATATTTCACCCAAAAAATTTAAATTCTGTCATCATTTACTCACCCTCATGTCGTTTCAAACCTTTCTTCTGTGGAACATAAATAATATATTTTGAAGAATGTTGGTAACTAAGCTGTTTTGGTTATCAATGACTTTCATTGTATGAACAAAAAATACTGAGATGTTTCTCAAATTATCTTCTTTTATGTTCCATAGTATATGTTAGGCCGTTGTAGCCTAAATGTTTATGTGTAATAAATTTTGTTGAATCAAATAAAATATTTTATTCTAAAGCTACAATTTGTAATGTCTACTTGATACTTTCTCATTTAACACATAGCTTTAAATAAACTTTTGTGGGTATTTTCACAGTCAAATTTATTTTGTGATTAATTAGATTAATTCATCGAAACATCATGTAGTTAATTAGATTAAAAATTTTAATCGACTAACAGCCCTAATATATATATATATATATTTACATTTACATTTAGTCATTTAGCAGACGCTTTTATCCAAAGCGACTTACAAATGAGGACAATAAAAGCAGTCAAAACTAACAAAAGAGCAACAATATATAAGTGCAAATGACAAGTCTTGGTTAGCCTAACGCAGTACACGTAGCAAGGTGTATATATATATATATATATATATATTTATTATACACACACACACACATACATACACAGACACAAACAAAGAAA